CGACACAAAATTGTAGAGTATTATCGTCAAGACCTCACAGAAATTTTCTGCAACGCTTCATTGTCATTATCCTATGTACCTAGAAATTATAATCATAACGACAAAAACAACAACGTCAGCAGTGACTAAAGTTTTTGAAAAGTAACATTTTACCACGCATTTCTATAGCCGGGTTGTCACTCACCTCTGCATTTTTTATGTCCCCATAACCGAAGATTCGGAAGCATATAGCTTTTGCCCTGTCTGTTTGTCCGCAAAAACTTTAACCTTGGCCATAACTGTTGAACGGTTGGTATTAGGGCTTTTATATTCCACATGTGTATTCATTGTGATAAAACCTTCACTAGGGTACCAACAATTTTGACCATTTTACCTTGACCTTTGAGTTTGACCTATTTGTGGAAAACTTTAACCTTGGCCATAACTTTTGAACGATTGATACTAGGGCTTTCATATTTTACATGTTTATTCCTTGTGACGAGACCTTCCATTGGGTACCAACAATGTTGATTTGTTTACCTTGACCTTGGGAGTTTGACTTGCATTTGAGAAACTTTTACCTTCGCCATGAGCTGCCATACGGGGGCATCAGTGTTTTACAAACACATCTTATTTTTGTTTGCATTTTGTTATTCAAAAAAAAAAAAAAAAAAAAAAAAAAAAAAAAAAAAAAAATCCCTCTCGCTCTGGTCTAATTTGGCATTGATCTCAAGGCACAGAAACAAAATAATTTTTATATTTACTTCAAATAGATTGCGACATTTCAGAGTCCTGTAAAACCGAATCAGGCTGGTTGAATGCTAAGAAGAGCTGATTTACAAGTTAAGTTAATAATGCAACAATGTTGTCGCCAAAAACTATTTTCATCCCAACAAAACTTTGTATTTATAACATAATTGTATGCCTTCATAAACCCTACACTATTTTTGTTTTCTAACACCGGAAGACTCTTTGTATATTTATTACAATTCCAACCCTAAATATGTGTCCGATCAAAAAGTAAAATAGGAGGTGAACAATGGTACTTTGTTATAATGTTATAAAGATTCCGTGAAAGCCTCATTAAATTTTATTCAGTGGTACAGGGGGAAATCCGGATAAGAGATGGGTAACCCTCAATATTATAGAAAGAATGGAAGTGTCTATGTTTTGCTATTGGAAACCCGAAATATGTGTCTGATCAACAAGTAAAACAGAAGCTGCACAATGGCATTATGTAACAAAGATTCTGTGAAAGGCTCATTAAATTTTATCCAGTGGTATAAAAGGAGTTGCAGATAAAAGATGTGTACCCCATGCAAAGTGTAATGGACAGATGGACGGACGTGCGGACGTACACTCCCATCATTATAAACGCCCTCCTTTTCAAGCGGAATCCTCACAAAGAAATAAATATTGCAGGGTCCAGTAATTGTACAACCAAGTCCCTAACCTTAGTCCTCACCAAAATATTAACTGATGTGAAAACTTCCGACGTATTGTTCTATAACATATTCAGGAAGTAGTGTAAATCAAATGTGATTTCTAAAAAAAAAAAATCCAAAGAACTTTTGGAAAATTCTAAATCTCAAAACTTCTCAAATATCAATAGCATCAAAACAGTTACATTATAAATTAAAAAGCAGGCTTTTGGCACCGTATACAATTGCGTCCTCGATAAATATATGGAACTCGTAAATTTTCATACCTTGTGATTGGTCATCTACAAAATTACTTCGTTAAAAATCATTCTGATTCTAGTTATAATTACCTAGATGTTTTGAAATTAAAAAGATGCCGTCACGGTAGCTCAGTCGGTAGAGTGCTCGCTTCGTGTTTAGGTCGTGAGCTTGAATCTCGGACGCGACTGAACTAAGTCGATATAAATAGGTAGCAAATGTTCCTTCGCCAAGCGCTAGACACTTACTTGAAAAAGACGTTAATGGTAATCTAACAACCAAGCTTTATGATAAACGTGATGACTTTAACTTTTCAATCGTCAACTTCCCTTACTTATGCAGCAATATACCTTCATCACCTGCATACGGGGTATATATCTCTCAGTTGATTCGATACGCAAGAGCATGCTCTACGTATGTACAATTTCTAAAACGAGGTAAATTATTGACAAATAAGTTGATGAAACAAGAATATCAGCTGTCTCGTTTAAAGTAATCATTTCGTAAGTTCTATGGTCGATACAATGACCTTGTCAGCAAATACAATTTATCATTAAGTCAAATGCTGACTGACGTTTTTCATACTAATTGTTAGGCCATTATTTACACACTGAATTGTCGACGGATTTTTCCGTTATTTCCCGATCATGACAAGGAGCACACGGCGGGTGTGACTGGTCGGCAGGGGATGCTCACTCCTCCATGGCACCTGATCCCACCTCTGATGTTTGGAGGTCCGTGTTTGCTCTGCTCCTATTTTGTATTGTATAATGGACTTTTGAGCTTGAATACTGTTCGTTATCTCCATATATTTCATTTGAAGTGAAAGTTGCGGGTTCTTCGGATGAAACCTTAAAAACCAAGTCTCCGTGTCACGACAGGCGTTGGCACGACAAAGCACCCTCACTGCTCAATGGCTCCGAGTGCCGAGAAAAGGTCAAAATTTGAAACCCTTCACCGGTATATGGTGACATCTCTATATAAGTGAAAAATTCTCGAACGGGACGTAAAACAACAATCAATCAATCTTCTTCAGAAGAAAAAACTCTTGCTCTGGCCTTCAATTCATCATTTAGATATATCGACGACGTTTAATGAAGTAACAGTAGTTACTTTCATTCACATATCGACTTGATATATTCCAGTGAACTAAAAAAAAAAGACACTACAAAATCTGTCACATCTGTTTCTTATTTGGATGTTTAACTGACTGTGGACAACAATGACCAACTAATATATTATAACTTATCTGTATGACAAACAGTATGACAGTTTTCCATCGTCTTCCATTATTTATATAGCAATATTCCAACATCACCTGCAAATGACCTTTATATCTACCAACTGATTCGATACGTAAGAGCATGCTCTGAATACGACCAATTTTTCTACCAAGGCAAGCTATTGACAAATAAGTTGATGTTACAAGGATTTCAATAACCCCGTTTAAAGTCAGCCTTTGGCAAATTGTATGGTCGTTATAATAATCTTGTTTGTAAATACAACATAACATTGGGTCGTATTTTGTCTGACATATTTCATACTATTTGTAAGTTCATTGTTTTTATACTATATTTGACTACGGAGTACTCTGTCTACGTGATCAATACATAGGGCTCACGGCGGATGTGGTTGGTTGACAGAGGATGCGTTGTCCTCCTACGCACCTAATTCCAACTCTGGCGTTTCCAGGGGGTCCTTGTTTTGGCCCTGTTCAAAATTCGTTTCGTTTACTGGATTTATGGGATTGATCACTGTTCGTTATCTCCCCCTTTTACATGTTATATGTCACTATCCTCTTGATTTGATATATTGCTATCATTTTGATTTGATATGTTGTTACCCTCTTGCTTTGATACGTTGTTATCCTCTTGCTTTGATTCAGGTCTATAATTTGTTTACAATGAGATTACTTTGATTATCTAAGCTATTTCACTCTGCTACAATGATTAACTTTTGAGAGACTAATGGTCAGAATACATTCAGAATTTGATATCACTGATAGTGTATGGGGCAAGTTTGTTTGGTTTTTTTTTTTACCAATAAGTATAAGATTGCCCTCTATAACCAAAAAGTATATACTGTATCGCAATTGAAAGTTAAAATATTTAAACTATTATTATAGCAATGATCTTAGCTTTTAATGTACTTGTAAAGATTTTCTACTGTGGTAATTTGAAAATATCCATATAGCGGCCGTTTCCTTTGGAAGGAATACAGGTTAATCATTTATATTTTAGAAAGTCAAATTAAGATTTAATTCTAAACCGTTCCAAGATAGATGAACAAATATTACGAACTGTTTTTTTAAGTGGTTTTGATACTTAAAGGTACATCGCCCATGAAAACAGTTTGGAAATGTGGATAAATTCCTAAAAATAATTCAGTTTCTCCGATTTAGTCATTCTGCTTTGACAGTGGGTTATATGTACATGTACCTTTTGTACAGAGTACATTCTGAATCAAATAGCTTCCCCTCCTTCTCTTATTCCATGAAATTAAGAATAAAAGGAAATAAATTCACGCAAACGCTTTGTAATAATGACACACATTTATTATGATTCATGAAGGGTTGAAAGAAACATTTATTTGTACATAAACCTTAAAAAGATAAACGGAACACACTGACACACGAATCCGGTACTGAAAGTTAAATATGTCGGTTATCTTTTCCCAACTCTCTCTCTCTCTCTCTCTCTCTCTCTATATATATATATATATATACATATATATATACATGTATATGGGGGATCATAAGTATAAATTCTTATGGACATGGAAATGAAAACTGCCCAAAACACTTCCACTGACAATAAATACACGTAAGAAAAATAAGAAATCTACATTTGTCTCTCTCTCTCTCCCCCCCCCCCCAAGTCTACTGGTAGGAACATTTGTTAATATTATACAAGGGTCTATTGGCAGTACGTTTTAAGAACACCTAGAGTTATAGACTTTGGACAACAACAGTAATTATAATGTAAGGAATTAAATGCATAACGGTTCTGCCTGAAACAGAAAGCAATAAAATGCTATTTCTTATAGCTTTTGATATCTTTGTGTTTCTAACGACTCGCCACCAATATTTTCATATTTTCAGTTATGCTTTTTCGATCAGCTACAATAATGGCTAATGTGTGATACAATGCTTATCTTTTATAAAGGAAAAGATTGCTATAATTTATTTTACTTTTTTGATTACAAGAGTAAAATTTTCAACGAAACTTATTATTTTCAGCAAGCCCTATTCAGCTTATATATATATATATATATATATATATATATATATATATATATATATATATATATATATATATATATATATATATATAAGATGGACAAGATAAAATCATACATAAACATATGCAGAATGGTTTTTCAGGTAGGAAATAGTCAGTTACTTTTTACTCAAACCCGGAGTAAACATATCGTCTGTTGAGAGTGTTTTGCCAGACGACAGAGTGTTATCTGAACTCTTCTTGCGCGAATGAGATGACGGTGTGACTTCTTGATCACCACTGTCTGTTGCAAAAGTGATTTTCCCGAAAATACCCCTAAATCGTCTCTGGAGTGCTTTGAAATTTTCTTTCCTCAGAAGTATGTATATCCAGGGATCGATAATGGAGTTAGTGACGCCAAATCTTACGACTGTTAGCTCTCTAGAACCATTACCGCTGATCCACAAAGCTGCGTGCCCAAGAATTGTGAACTAAAAAGACAAATTTTTATTCACCAATTCAAAGAAGAAGAAAAAGAAAGTGAATCTGCGACATATAATAAATCATGTAGATTTTTTTAATGAAAAATAATATATAATAATAAAATAATCACCATCAGTGGAGTCCAGCAAACCGTAAAAAGGGTAACAATCACGAGCAATAAAATCACGTTGAAGATGTCAGTTTTTCTTCTTTTGGTTTTGGAAATTGTTGTGTCCTCTTTAAAATGCCTGCAAAGTGACATAATAACAAGCACATTGAAAGAGATGGTTGTAAATAGGATTAGCAATCCAAATAAGGAGTAAACGTAAGAATTAACTCTGTCCAGGATAGTTACTCCGACAAAGTTCAGAAAGCACCAGGAACCTGGGTAGTAATTAAAACTGGATCCAAGTCCCATCAAGTGTAAACTGGATATGAAAGCGCCGAAAATCCAGATGGAAATTAACATAATGTTTGCTCGATGTTTTTTACCAAGTACATTGTATTTGAAGGGATACAAAATAGCAATAAAACGGTCAAAAGACATCGCACAAACAATCATTGCTGACGATATCAGCATAAAAGTAAATATAAAAGAACTGTAGTCACACAGAGGTTTTGGAAACTCATACGTAAAGTCGGAGGCATATCTGATCATAACTGTCGGGTAGACTAGTAGAACTCCCCCGCCGTCTGTCAAAGCTAGACCTGCGACTAGTCTGTGAAATGGTCTCCATTTGTGTCTTTTTCTGGCCCCTACCAGTGCGATAAGTGCAATTAAGTTTCCGATTACTCCTAAAACAAACTGTAAGACCGGTGGCACTGTTGATTCCCATATTTTGGGTTCCTTGGTCATGTTAAAGGTACTAGTAGTTGAAATGACATCCATTTTAAGCATATGCTGTACGTTTTGTGCAAGTACGTTTATTTGACTTTGTTTATATGGCTGCTGGCTAAATAATTATTTCCTGTAATTCACACAATATCCTTTTTAGAAATTTCCGGAGACAACTGCTGATTTAATAATAGATTAATAAAATGCATTGAAATAATGATAATATCTGACAATTCCTCAAGCCGCATCTCAGTTAAACTTAAATTTAAAAAAAAGTTGCATCACGTTTCACTATTATGAAATGTAGGAATCGATATTAACAAAGGGAATGTAAGTTTCTTCTGCAATGACAGACCTTGACTCACTACAGTATCTTCCCACTCTCACAAGGTATATTAAAACTATCAGTGATTGCTGTCCCAGTACTGAATGATATGCGTGGGCTATGCATTTGCACACAATTCAGAGAGTATTGTGACCTTATTTTCGGTCACGATTCATCTTCACTCAAAAGCACCCATCGTATAGACCCTTACTGAGTCATTCATGTAGATAAAAATGGTACATGTATATAAAAATTGATGCTCAAGACATGCAAACACGTAAATCCCCAATGAAAAATCTTTCTTAGATATCTCAATTTTCTTTAACCATCTCATGACACTCAGGTAAAGTCTACCTGAACTTAATTGTAAATATTTTAATCTTTGAATTGAATCTTCACTCAAAAATTGAATATCTGTTTTCAGCTGTAACCTTATAATTCAGGTCAGTTGGGACAGGTTTGTCAGTACGTTATTCCGTAATGTAATCGTATTGATTTAAGAAAATAAGATATATGATGATTTGCTGATTATATACTTCTAATTTTATTATAAAAATTTCATTTGTCATTGTCATTTAATTAACAGCAAAATCGCCAAAATCATTAACGAAATACTTTTGAGAAAAATGGGCAATGACCCACTTTTATATCACCTGCATAGGAGTATTTTCTCTCCATTACATAGTAGGACGCTTCTTGAAAATCGAAGCAACTTTGCTTTTCAATATCAATTTATTAATTGTTCTTAATTGCAACTCGTTTTGATAAGGGCGGTGCAGGTTTTTTGCCATTGAAATCAGACATTAGAAGTCACCGGATTTTAAAATACTCATGGATTTGGATAATTTAAAATATCACTGTCAGTGTATTTCAATCGTCAACTTTCCTTATTTATGTAAAAATATTCCATCATCATTTGCATGTGGTGCTCTTTCTCTCAACTGATTTGATAGGCAAGAGCATTCTCTGGGAAATTTTAAAACCGAGGCAAGTTACTGACAAATAAGTTGATGCTACAGAAATTTCAACATCATTGTTTAAGGTCAGCAATTTACGAATTCTATAGTTATTATATTTACCTTGACTGCAAAAACAAATTGGGTAGTATTTTGTCCGACATGTTTAATTCAGACCAATTGTTATGTCATTGTTTTTATACTAAATTCGACTACGGATTAACCTGAACCTAATCAATGCATAGGGGTCACGGTAGACAGGGGCTTCTGTTTCCACCTCTGCTGTTTTCAGGTGTTATTGTTTTTGCGCTGTTTACGATTTATATTCTCTACTGGATTTATAGTGATCACTGTTCTTTAGTGATCACTTTTCTTTATCTTTGACCTTTTACATAGTGAAAAATGTATTTTATAACAGGACTTACCATTTTTTCTTCGCAAGTCTTGGTGAAAATTAATAAAAATGACATAGGCTATCTACTACCTGCAAACCACAAATTCGTTGCAATAAGGTGAAAGGAAAAATATTGGGATAAATCAAGAAAACTTGCTGAAGCCTGGTACATCAAATGAAAATTTCCTTGAAAATACCGTAATATTTTGCAGAAATTTGCTTCATACTGGATGTCGCATTCGACATCACTATCATACAGTTGGTTATTACGAGAAACTTCAATATCATATGATGAGACACAGGCAATATTTTCTCATGTAAGCGATATACGATGGCCCTTTGATTCACCTTCTACCTTACGTCAATAAAAATTTGGTTCTACATAGAATACAAGGTGAGATCTGTTATTATGGATGTGGCTAACCACAGGCTTTTTGAACCATCACACATTACGGAAGAGAACCCGGCGATTTCTTAAACTATTTAATAACAAAGGAATTGACCCCGTTAACACTATTGTATCTAATCACAAAAGGATCCAGTCTTGCATTCCACAATATTTCAAGATGAAGTATTTCTTACAAATAATTTGCCACTATTCCAAAAAAATCCCCTTACCTGTCCATGTACTTCTACTTTTAACTCAAGTCTGGATGGAAACGATGAGCATTTTAAAGGATGCAAAATTTAGGGCTCCCTGACCTTTTATTGGCGATAAAATTTTATAAATGTTAAGAATTATGCCAAATGATGTGTCGAACATTGACACTCTTTCAGAATGGATGAAAAGTCTGAGTTGAATATTGAAATCATACTCAAAATTGAATTAAAGTTATAAATATTTAAGAATATTAAACGAGTCGACTGAATGGTAGATAATGATTAGATTACATGATAGATATATATACTGATTCCAGCTGACAAAGTATGAAACAACATAGTCTTTTTGTAATGACCAAATTGCATTTTAAAGGAACTTAAAGGAACCAGTGGTAATCCAATTTATGCTCGTATTAAAGGAAAACATCTTCAAAATCATTAGTTTTAACTATTCTTAAATTCCTAGAAACAAAATTACTAGATTTCAAAACTTCATAAAAATCATTAAGTAGATATGAAACTGGATCTAGCAAACCTTTCATCAGCTGTCTTTCTTTACTCCCAACAAAAACATTAACAGCAGTGCAGGAGGAAATGCAGGATTACTGTGCAACAAAATATTCGTTAATCAAATGTAGACATTCAAAATCTAAAGAACTTTTAGAAATTTTGAATTTGCATTTAACTAAAATCAATAGGTTTAAAAAAGATGTTTTTAACACTTTATACGACCACTCTTTATGATAAATTAAAGACCAGGATTTTTCATAGACGACAGTTTTTTCTATCAAATTGGACCACAGAAATACATCTTGTGATAATTTAAATATATATATTCATACATACATACTATGAAGTATTCAAATGCCCTTTCAATTCACACTTAAGACATTTTTTATGCCCCCGTAATCGGAGATTCGGGGGTATATAGTTTTTGCACTGTCCGTCCGTCTGTCTGTCTGTTTGTCCGGAAAAACTTTAACCTTGCCCATAACTTTTGATTGGTTGGAGCTATGGCTTTCATGTTTCACGTGTGTATTCCTTGTGACAAGACTTTCCTATGGGTACCAACATATTTGACCTCTTGGCCTTGGAGTTTGACCCACTTTTGCAAAACTTTACCCAACTTTAACCTTGGCCATAACTTTTAAACAGTTGGTGCTAGGGCTTTCATATTTCAAAGTGTATTCCTCGTGACAAATCCTTTCCAAGGATATTAATATTTTTGACCTTTTGACCTGGGCCTTACAGTTTGATCCACTTTTAAAAAACTTTAACCCTGGCCATAACTTTTGAACAGTCAGCACAGGGCTTTCAAATTTCCCAGGTATATTTCTTGTGACAAGACCTTCCTTTGGATACCAACAATTTTGACTTTTGACCCTGGGGTTTGACCTACTTTTAAAAAACTTTAACCTTTGCCATAACTTTTGAACAGTTGGTGCTAGGGTTTTTATATTTTGCATGTGTATTTCTTATGACAAGGTCTGCCCCTGCGTACCATTAATTTAAACCATTTGCCTTGACTTTGGAGTTTGGAAAACATTAACCTTGACCTTAACTTTTAAATGGTTAGTGATTGGGCTTTCACATTTAACAGGTATATCCATTGACACAAGTCCTCCCTTTGGGTAGCAACATTTTTTTATCTTTTGACCTTGGAGATGAACTTGCATTTGAGAAACTTTAACCTTCGCCATAAGCTGTCATCCGGGGGCATCGGTGTTTCACAAACGCATATTGTTTACTATAGATTGCGTACAATTCAATTTCAGTGCTGTGAAATCATTTCGTAAAGGGTTCAGATTTAATGCATTTAGCGAAGGATCCTGACCCATGAAATGATAAGCTTTTAAGTTTTGAACGGAATCTTTCATGTCAAGAAAATTGATAATGAAGTACAGGACTTTTCCTCTCAATTTATGAAAATATTTAGAAATCCACTTACTTAAACTCGCAACAATGGGCTTAAATGATTACATAGTATTTCTTTATATTACATATATATTTAGTCAGCTTAGGTCTTTAAAAAGTGCTATGAATTCTATTGGGTAGATGAATTCAATTCTAATACTAAAAAGTTTGAAAAAAGTTGAAGTATATCGTTCCTAATTAGGACAACCTCCTTATACAATGAATTTTTACGTTCCGTCCTCCATTCAAAAGGCTAATGTTTTCAATGTGTCGTGTAGTAAACTTTCTCATCTATAGGTTATAATGTCATATGAAGACGTATTTTCTTCCAACAATGGCATTTTACTTTGGCTTCGCTTACGAAGAACAACATTACTGAATTTACCAAAAAAATCTTGTGGCAATTCTCATAACGATGGAAAGTTATTAAACGCACTTTGTTGAAGGTAGTTATGAACAAATTAAGTCAATATGTCAAAGTTGTATCAGACACAAGTTCTAAAAACATTGGTAATCCTCTCCCAATAATTAATATACAGTATAACTCTATCTGCTCCAGAGAGCATTTTATTTTACTTGTGTTAACAATAGCTATAAGTCTAGGTTTTCTTAATATATTAATATCCTTTTGCGTCTTCGATCATAATCCTTTTTATTATTTTCATTATAAATAGAACATTGTAACACAAACTTGCAAAGGAAAAGAAAGCGAAAACGCAGTAGTCTTATTTCACACAACATCAGGTGTATAAGGAAATAATTTTAAACATTAATTTCCAATGAAAAATGAATTTTTCTTTATTCATTCTAAGATGTTGGTTCACAGGGAAGTGATGGTCATTATGTAATAAAAGTGTTTAAAAGGTACCTATTTTTTTTAGCAATAAAAATCTGTCAAATATGGAGGGGGCGTTACATCACAGTAAGCAATTATGAACAGGACGAAATAGTTGTAATATTTAAAGCTGAGACCATGGCATAAATGAAGCGACTTGTCCGACAGAATAATCAAGGCGTGGCCAGATTTGAAGACATAAGCTGAGAACAGACATGCTTCAAAATTTCAATCCAGTATAATTTTTGGAAAAAATGAAAATAAAGCAAAATTATCATTATATATTTGAAAATTATACAAACTTGCAACTTTTTAAACTAATTGATATATTCGAAATATGAATTTTGTCTCGTTTAAATTTTGACTTTTTTCTTGTTATTTTATAACAGTCCAGGGGCTAGGGTTTTTCGAATCACTTTTCTATTCTTTACCACATATGACCTATGTGGAAGCTGAATTGGTCTGCTAATGATTTTCTGGGACCTGTCATAGTCGAAAAGTGACCAGAATAAAATTAATTGGTAATTTCAAAGGTTGCTCTGTCTGGTCAATGTATTATGCAAGGGCAATTATATCTATATTAATTTAATAAAAAAAAGACAATTGCTTTGTAGATTTGAGATTAATATGTGATATTATAAACGATATAAATATAAAATTAACGCAGTGCAAAAATCCATGATGCAGGGAAAAAAGGGGGATAGAGCACAACAAATCCACAGAGTCAGGAAAATAAAAACCAAAACTGCTTCCAAAGTTTATGACAGACGTCACAAAAGTAATTTTGATAGGGACACAACATTTATTATGTTAATCATGACATTCTGATATATTGATCTGCTATAAATACTTTTCCAATTAGCATAATATTTGTTTTGCCCCCCCCCCCCCTAAAAAATCATGATTTTGAATTGTTTTCAAAAAGATTTTAACAAAATAATTTTGCCAAAAACTGACTTAAAACACGGATTTAACACACGTTCGTTTAATGTACAGATAATTCTTTATAAAATGGATTGGAATATAATTTCATATTCTCTATTTGTAGAAGTCGTCAACATATCTGGCAGAGGATAGAGTGTTACATTGACCTTCTTTGCAATGAAAAAGATGACGGTGTGGTTTCTTGGGTACTACTCTCAGTTGTTAAATTAAATTTGCCACAGAAACCACCACAGCGTTTCTGTAGGATTCGGAGATTTTCCTTTCTCAGAAGAATGTAAATCCATGGATCTACGACTGAGTTGGTGACTGCAAATCTTAGCACCAACAGTTCTCTAGGACCATTTCCTTCAATCCACATGGCAGCATGTGCAAATATTATTGACTTAAAAAGAAAGAAATGAATAAGAAGTATTGGAAAAACAGTTTGAAAATACTTTTAACATAAACACTCAGAGAGAGAGAGAGAGAGAGAGAGAGAGAGAGAGAGAGAGAACTGATGACCAATTCCTTACAATTAGCGGTATCCAGCAGACGGTGAATGCCACGACAATGACCAGAAGTAAAATCATGTTGAAGACATCACTTTTCTTTACCTTGCGATTAAGTCCTTGTTTGGATGCTCTTATATTTTTACAAAGTGTTATAATGACAAATATATTGAGGGAAATGGTTGTAATCAAAATACTATATCCTAAAATTGAGTATATAAAGGAATTAACTCTGTCCATCGTAGAACTTCCAACAAAGTTCAAAAAGCACCAAGATCCAGGGTAGAAATTACAACTCGAACCAAGTCCCATCAAATGCAACGAGGAGACGAAGGTGCTAAAAGTCCAGATGGATAATAGTGTTATATTTGTCCGACGCTCCTTTCCAGCGATATTGTACTTAAAAGGATATAAAATAGCCAAGAAACGATCGAAAGACATGGCACAAACAATCAGTGCCGAGGATAGTGGAGTAAATGTAAATATAAATGAGCTATAGTCGCAAACAGGCTTAGGAAAATCATATGTAAAGTCTGATTCATATCTCATCATCACAATGGGATAGACCAACAGAATGCCTCCCCCGTCTGTCAAAGCTAATCCGACGACGAGTCTATAAAAAGGTTTCCATTTGTGTCTCTTTCTGGACATTAACAACACGATCAGTGAAATTAAATTTCCAATAACACCCAAAGCAAACTGTAAACTGGGTGGAACTGCTGATTCCCACACCCTTGCCTGTGTAGTGGAGTTGGAGATTGAAGAGAGGACTGTTGTAGTCATCTCTCAAATAATGTGATCTGCAGAGGTTCGTCTTATTAAAGTGAATACCCACTGAAGATGTATTGCGTATAAAGAAAATTAAATTTCCTGTGTATGCACATTTTTTCTTACATCAGGGTTCTAGAAAATTAAAATCTGTTAAATTAGTAATGAAGCGGGAAGAAATCATAATTTCATTTTTTTATGACATATACAGTAAAAACATTTTAATCTGACACCGGGGCAATCCATTTAACAGTGAATCCCTATCTATACGTTGATTCCTAATTTCAATTTTCATGTTCTTAACACCGTGCAATCTGACAACCCTGTCCATTCCGACACAAAAGTTGTGCCCTAGTGTCGTATTAGACAGCTTTCACTGTAAATGAAAATGATGACAGGGAAGTCAGAACAACAATGATAATTATATAGATTGGTTAAGACGCATAAATTTATAACGAATAGGAAAGAAGGTGAAAAAGTTTTCGAATCAAGATCGAGATACACAAGGAAGCAGTTTATACCATGAAACCATGAAAGAAAATTGTGAGATATGACAGTTAAGAAATATTACCTAGCTTCAATGATTATCAATTAAAAATGAAACCGACATATATAACTGCAGTAGCTTTGATCATTCGGAAACAAGAGAATAAATAGAGCTGATAAAGAACAAATAAAATTTGGAGAAACAGGGAAAAATCATATGCGCAGCGTGCTTTTGAATGAAATATATGAAAATAACGAAGAGTATTCAAGCTCAAAAGTCCATTAAACAATACAAATTTTGGAGCAGAGCAAACACGGACCTCTAAAACATCAGAGGTGGGATCAGGTGCCATGGAGGAGGGAGCATCCCCTGAACACCCACCTTGTGCTCCTTGTCATGATCGGGAAATAACGGAAAAATCCGTCGACAATTCAGTGTGTAAATAATGCCCTAACTATTAGTATGAAAAACGTCAGTCAGCATTTGACTTAATGATAAATAATATTTGTTGACAAGGTATTTGTATCGACCATAGAACTTAGGAAATGACGACTTTAAACGAGACTGCTGATATACTTGTTTCATCCACTTGTTCGTCAATAACGTACCTCGTTTAAGAAATTGTTCATACGTAGAGCATGCTCTTGCGTATCGAATCAACTGAGATATATAAACCCCGGATGCAGGTGATGAAGGTATATTGTTGCATAAGTAAGGGAAGTTGACGATTGAAAAGTTAAAGTCATCACGTTTATCACATTGCTTGGTTGTTAGATTACCATAAACGTCTTTTTCTAGTAAAATATCCAAATATGAAACAGATGTGTCAGACTCTGTGGTATCTTTTATTTCAATCTCACTGGGATATATCGTATCGACATAAGAATGGAAATAACCATTGTTAATTGACAAATGTCGAGTTGAAGACCACAGCAAGTGTTTTCTTCTTTTCACGAAAAAGATTTTGAACAAATCCTGCTTCATATGAATACAAAAATAGGTCTGCTAATAACGAGGCGCAATTGGGAATTCCAATAGATTGTTGGAAGACCTGGTCTCCAAAAACCATATAGATATTGTCAATCAAAAACTCTTTAATATCAACTTCAGAGTACCTGTGTGTACCATCAGAATGTTTTTTAACAAAATAATTTTGCAAATGACCATTGACAAGGTAAGTAAATTCACGAGTTCCATTTTATTGAAAAAGCAGCTGTCAATATCAAAAATCCTGGACTTTAATTTATCATGGGGAATGGTTGTATATAAAGTTGAAAAGTCTTAAGTTTTTATGTTGTTGATTTTCGTAAAATTTTGTGATTTGAAATTTTCCAAAAGTTCTTTGGAATTTTTAAGTATTCACATCTGATTTACACCACTTCTCGAATATATTGTTGCACAGTACTTCTGAAGTTTTTCCTTCACTACTTTCAATATTTTAGTTGAGTAGTAAAGAAAGAGGTATGGTAGAACATTTACTGGAACCTGCTATGTATCTTTGTGAGGATTTTTATTAAGTTTCGGAATCCAATATAGATATGGTAATTCAAATTCATGTTGATTGTTGGGAATATTAAAAATTTTCAAAACTGACATATGATTTTGAAGAATTTCCTCCATAGAAAGGGAGCTATGGGTATAAGTTGGATTACCACTTGTAGAATTAAATCCCAGTTCTTCTAAAATACATTTAAATAATGAGCCTTACAAAGACAATGTTGTTACCTGCTTTGTCAGCAGGGACCAGTGCATACTGATCGCTAATCTATCTGAATCTTTGTTTACTTCTAAATTATTGAACACAGAAGGATAGTTGGTTTTCATTTTGCCTCTCAATCGCTTAATGCGAGATTTTAACATACATCTGATACATTTAATCCATTCTGACAACGTGTCAAGATCTTCTTTTTCATGTCTGGCCCATCGCCTGGCGTAATCTTTCACAGAATCCATAATATTTATAAAATTATGACGCCAGTTAAAAGATCGGGGTTCCTTTAATTAATTAAAAACATATTTATCTGTGTTTTACGTCAAATATACTCCAGCGCAATTTATTTGAAATGGTATCATTAGAAACTGGTTTCTTTGTCCTTGGTTTTAGCAGTTGACTGCGCAATTTCCAAAGCATAGCATTTGAAAAATCAATTTTGAATTAAAGAACGCGTATTCGAACAAATATGAGAATTTGTTAAAAAGTTATCAAAATTTGAAAATTGAAATCAAATTTTAATTATGACCATATTTACATAATGCACGAACATTACACTTGTTTTTGTATTAATTTTTTTACCCCTTCCTAGTAGCATAATAATAACACAAGGTATCTAACTCCAAATTACAAGGAGTACCCTCTCCCAAGAGTTGCAGTCTTAAACATGTATTACGCTTCAGAGAAAACATGTAGTGGAATACTGTCGACTAACATTCTCTTCTACGATACATGTATACATGTATTTCTCCACAAAACTACTAAGTATACTAGTATCATTTCGTAAGTTTGTCAGCACCTGCAATCTATCATTAAGTCATATGCTGACTGACGTTTTTCATACCAATTGTTAGGCCATTATCTACACACGGAGTTGTCGAAGGATTTTCCGTTATTTACCGATCATGATAAGGAGCACATGGCGGGTGTGATCGGTCGGCAAGGGATGCTCACTCTTCCATGGTACCTGATCCCACCTTTGTTTTTTGGAGGTCCGTGTATTGTTTTAATGGACTTTGAGTATTTGAGTATAAGAATGCAGTATTGAATACTGTTCGTTATCTCCATATTTCATGCTTTCTTTTTACATCTATGAACAGCTGGGAAGGGAAAAAAGGTGAAGGAGTTATCTCTGCTTGTCTTGTTGAAAACTCCTAAAATTCGTGAATATTAACCCGACTTCTGACTTGTCGTCATTATTTATTCTTCCCTCAACATACATGTACATGTTTATTAGTCAATAGATATAGACTTTTGGTCATATTCCTAATTCTCCCTTGAATCTGGAATGATGATATAGATATTTTAAGAATGATAAAGAGTTGAACAGGTCTTGCATATTGAAATTAATTAAGTTCTGTGGTTGAATTAGTTACCGGTATAGCTTGATTTTGCTTTTCAAAACACCTTGATTAGCTTTTTATATTCATACTGTTTCTTAAAATACATGTATACAGTTTTTTTCAACAAGATAAAAGTCATCCTATGGTGACATGGTATATATTTTCAGCTTTGAACTATTCTGAAAACGATGCATGAAAAAAAATTGTTTTTCAAATATTGTAGCTCTTTCCGAGCACTTACGATTACAAGTTTTTAGTTTTGCATAAGGCTATTAACCTGGAGTATTTTTTTTCTCTCTTCTTTTCTTTCTCTTTTTCTGACATCTACTTGGACCGAGAATTAAAATGGAATGATTAAGAAAAGTTTTTTTTTAATTGATCATTTTTTAAAGTATTTTATATCGTGTAAATCATACTGAAGCTAGATTGATACCCCCCAAGATATGTATAAAAAGATTGTTTACTCACAATCATGTCTTTGATCAGATCTATATGAAAAATGGGGATAACGAACAGTAATTACCAAAGGAAACTGCCAACATTCCGTTTTCTGATTGGTTACAAATGTCACATGGAACTCCTATTACTCAAGAACATGTAAGTTCTTTTCTTAAATCCCATAGGAAATACACGACTGTCTTCAGAGTATGCAAAAACGAATTAAATTACGTTTAAAAATTTTAAAAACAACTCACTGAATCCTCAACTGATTTGTTGAGACAGGTTAAAATACCCCTCAGAGTATAATTATCATACATGAGCCTCTGCAAAAAGTTGTAACTTATGTGAAACTTCATCACATAGTGTTAATTCAAGTTAGTTTAAATCATGACCTCCATGGGTAGGGTGGATCAAAGTTTTACATGGGAATGTATAGGAACAAATCTTCAAAAAGTCTTCTCAAGAACCACTGGGCAAGAAAAATTAAACTTATGTGAAAACTTCATAACAGTGTATAGAATCATATTTGTTCTTTCAAAACTCTACTCCTTCTACAGCTTTGACCCTGGATTTCATTAATACTTGTAGAACAAGTAATCTTTACTAAGATAAATAATTCTGTTTATCGTTTTTTTTTTATTTCCTTGAACACTGTTGCCATGGTTAGTAGAAAAATATTGTGAAATTCATTCGAACCGCAAGTCTTCCTAGAGTTTTGGTTCGATTTCAATGACTATGTGCACAATCAGCCTTAAATAAAGTACATATTTCAATGTTATTCAGTTTTTGATTTCCATGAATGATGCTGCCATTGTTACTAAAAGTAGAGAAAAAATGCAGAAAAAACATCATATTTCGACCCCTATTTGCCTCCCAAGATGAAAATAAAAATTCCGAAAGCTTATTGCACATCTACAGGTCACCACCAATCATCTTCAAATACATGATTAGGATACTGCATAAATATAAGAGAAGTTCTGGTACCAATGTCTTTTTATATACGAAATATCATTTTTCGACCCCCAGGGTGAAA